CGAATAACTAGAATTATACTCATACACAATTACCACTGCGTTCTAAAAAAGCGGATTTTATGTTGTATTTTGAAACGGTACCAACATCGATCTGGGAAAGATGGTCATGAGTGTCTAAACCAAAATAAAGCCTCAGGATATTTAACACGAACGAATACAATGTCTTTTGCTGCATTGTTAACCATTTTGCAGAAGTTTTGTGAAACTGAGGCCGAGAGGTAATCATCTCAATCCAATACATTTACAATCTTATTTATGATTTAAAAAAAAAGATGCTTCTAGTAAAGACAAGCACATCGCATATTGTAAAAATTAGATGTGGGAATGCGCAAACGGCGCAATGCAACTCTCCTATTTATGGAAATATTTTTTAAAAATTTTAACCACATATGCTTCTAGTAAAGAGGAACGTATCGCAAATTGTAAAAATCAAACGTGAGCATGCACAAACTGCGCAATATCAACTCATTTATTATAGGCAAACATATCGTATATTTTTTTTATTAGCCCTCTCTTGTTTTGGGCCCTAAACAGGCATGCGCCCAATTACAGAGTGACCCGCATAATGCTATTTAGAGGTGCCTCTGCAGAAGGTCTTAAGATGGTCTATACTACTCCGGTATTTACCTTACGAATTAGAAAACCTAATTCGGAGTAGCCGGTAGAATGCTCGGAACTGGCCTAAGGTAATTTCCATCTCCGCCACAGATGAAAAATTCACCTCAACCCAGGTTCGAACACCCGACCTTCGGATTTATAACCCAATGCTCTTACCACTGAGCCATAAATCCTTGCATTTTAAACATTGGGTGTGACCTTTCGGGAACTATAGGGACTGATCAATTCTTACTCTCCTTAAGGTGCTTACGGAAGATATCGAAGTGATTGCGATAATTTTACTGTTAAGTGTAAACTTAAAAAAAACTCTTAAGTGAATTTAAAACAGCGGGAAAACCGGTTGTCGCAGTAGGTTTAGAATAAATTGGTTATGAATTTAGACGTAAGTACGTGTACCACTTCATGGCGAAAGAGAATGGAACTAATATGCAATAGAAGTCAGCACTTCCAGATAAGCTGGTAAGAAACGAGTGCACAAGTAGATAAGAATCGAAACCTCACAGTGTTGCCACGATCTCACAGGCCTCAAAAGTTGCGAAAAGCCGAGTACATGATGGTTTAAAAGCTACTTACAAAATCGAATGCAGATGGTTACAACTTTGAGGGATGGAAGCTACAGTGACTCTAACTTTTTACCTGTTAACATGGGGGTTCCGCAAGGATCTATCCTCGGACCGCTTCTTTTCTGTTTATATGTTTTCGATATGGATACGTCTTTAAACGGTTCCTACATCCACAGTTACGCGGACGATACTTACTTAATCTATCCTGTCCATCGCAACAATCTAAATTACTCTCTGAGAAACTTTAATGAGCAGTTAAATCGGTTCGAGAGATGGTCTGAGAAACATTCCCTAAAGATAAATCCTTCTAAATCTTCTCTGATGCTATTGGGAACACCAAAATCTGTTACTGCATTGTGGGAAGATGTGAACCAAAAATTATATCTGAAAGATTCCCCGCTTCAATTAGTTAGGGAATCTCGTAGTTTAGGAGTAGCAGTGGATTGTCACTTAAACTTTTCCCTCCACGTCAATAAACTGATTCAAATTGCTTACGCAAAGCTTAAATGTATATATCGTTTCAAATACGTTCTTCCACCAAAGGTCAAGTGGCAGTTTGTAGATTCTTTAATACTGTCAACTTTAGATTATTGTGACACTGTCTATGGTCCGTGTCTAACTAGTGCAAATAAGTCTCGCCTGCAAAAAATCCAAAACTCTTGCGTCAGGTATGCGTTTAACATTAAGAAATATGGACATATTTCCCATATTTATCATGCACATAGAATTTTGAACATGGGCGAAAGACGTCATTTACATCTTGCATGTCTGGTTCACAAAATATTAGCATCTGGTGAACCTTTATATTTGTGTAATAAGTTAAAATTTCGAAGTAGTATTCACGATCGTAATCTCCGTAACCCATTCTTTCTTGACATACCAAAGCACCATAAAACCCAGTTTCATCGTGCATTTACTTATTTTGCACCACTCATTTACAATAACGTTCCGAACTTTCTTAAATTATTAAGTCCAAACGGTTTCAAAAAACACCTTAGAGTACTTCTTTATCACTGAATCATATTTTTTTTTTTTGCTTTACTTGTATGCTTACTTGTTCTCACCTGGACTATCATACCATATAAATTATCATAAATTGTTTTAAATACTCCATCATGTTTTTGTACTTTTTTCTGTATCAAGGTTGGGATTAATAGCAGCCTTTGGCTGACACCCCGCCTAAATAAAGCCGTTATTATTATAATTATTATTATGGAAATACGGGATTAGTACCTATTGGTTAAGAGGGCATGCTTTCCGCAACAGTTGCGGTCAGGACGAGGAAGTCGTTTCGGAATTTTAGAACGGCAAGTGAAAATTTGGTGGGAGACAAGTATTCTTCGCCACATTTTTGAAACGAAACTATGTAAGTCTAGCACGACCATTTTACATCGCGCCAAAACTGTATATACGAACAGATTTGTCAGCCGCGTTGTCGTACGTGATATTTGATTGCTTTTTTACCAGTGGTCCCACTGAGGAAGGACAGCAAACTGCGTCCGAAATATTTGGATTACCAAATAAAAAAACTAAACGAAGTCTGTTTTTTTTAGCCTACTCACCCTACAAACCTTCACTTTATTGCGAAAGTTGAAGTTTTTCAACAGATTTCAAGTGAAAACTGTGCAGCAAGTTCCACAAAAATTATTTCTGTGTGCATTTTAAATTTGTTACAAGTCACTATTACGAGTTATCTAACATAAAGTGGCGTATTTAAGAAAAGAGGGATATTTCTTCCTGTAGTAGCCGTTACCGTGTTAAAATACGTGAGCGAACATTTGCGTTTCTGGTCATTATTGGATTATTGTGCTTGCGCGTAAATAAATTATTACCACGAAAGCGTTGGGATCCAAGGTGCAAAACATTTCGTTGTGCTACATTTGGAGTGGGAAGTTAAGTGAAAAATCCAGTTAATTAATCAAAGTTGTGCACCCAATTTGTTTATACGAGGTGCTAATAACTATATAAATAAAACGACACAGTTAAAAAGGCTAGACAATTGTTCCCTGTCAAAACCCTAAGTGGACTTTTCCCTACTACATAACATTGGTAACAATTCCAATAAACTCAATTGGAACTAGCCCGTTACAGGGGTCATTTTCAATAGGCTTCTTACGTGTGGCATATAGGTTAACTGTGCAAAGTTTGAAACGAATCGGTCCAAGGGTTTTTCCAGTTATCGTATTCACAGACAGACAGATCGACTCTCCTAAGCTATTGACAACATGCATCCGGGCGATTGTTGTCTGGTCTGTACTTACCTTTAGAGTTAACTTGTTCATTGTTATAATTAGTGTGTTCAAAGACCGAATAAAATCTGTTGACACCAAAGTGTTGACACATCCTACTTTAATTACTGAATGGAGAAATAAATGAATAGCATAAAATTATTTATGAATAATTAGATTTCATCAATAAGAATGAGAAGACCTTGTTTCTTTCTTCACTACCCACACTACTATATTGCAATGTATTACTTCTTTTCCCTATGTTGTTTAAGCAAAATTAATTTTGGTAATTATACCAATGGAATTACCTATATCTGGTGTTTTAAAAGGTTTCAACCTGAAATTTTAGAATATCATTAAGGAGTAAAGGAAAATTAATAGTATATGATACCATCCTAACGTGATATTCGCCGCCCCCAGCCACCTCCGATCCAAAAATGTAAATTACACCCTGTATTTTTTGACATATTGTGAAAGAGCGAAGTAGTTTTGGGATTTGCATATAATAAAACACTTGAACTTTGCACGATATTTACAGCAAGAGGTTCAAATTTTTGGACCGGAGGTGGCTGGGGGCCGCGAATATCCCGTTGGGGTGGTATCACATATACCTACCATTAATTGATGACATTCCAGAATTAAGTTTTACCGCGGACACCCGGTATATTACTAGTAGTTTTTGATATTGCACACATCCTCACGTCTATTTACAAATAATGTCCGACGTTACACAAGAGTAAGATGTTCTTAGATAAATGGCATGCACAATTAGCGCTTAATTTCCGAATAGGCAGTCTGGTAACCCATTTTCGTTCCATGGCCACTGACAAAAAAATTCTCATCGTGTAGTAACAACATAAAATACCAACACAAACGATTAAAAGGAAGAACTCAAACGAACTTGACCACATAGGTACCTTAGTATAGACATAAATGTGGAATGCAAACGCCGAGACACAGAAAAATATAACTTATATGATACCTGGCTACATTATGAATATTATTACCTTTATACGAGGCATTCGAAGAATTTGTAGATTTGTTGAAGTAAGTAGTCACAAAAAGGGACTCTTTTGCCTCAAATAAATAGCACTTAGGTACTATGGGTTAAAATGGCCTTGTTTGTCGAATTTACTTAAACAAAGCTACCAATATAAATCACAAAACGAGCGAGGAATAGTAACAAATTACAAAGAAAAGTGAAAACAATACCCTACTCGCTTGGTCCACCCCATTTGGGTTGACAAGAACAGATAGGTACAGAATTCACCACAAAAAAGCAGAACGGCTAGTCCGAAATGAAAATAATTCGCCCATATCATTTGGTACCCGGAGGCGTTTAAGCCATCTTTGGCATAATCAACGGCCGATGCACATCTCCGCATTGCGAATAAAAAAAATTAAAGTTCATTGCCAGAGCAAGCGATTCCCTCTAACAAGCGTCGGGCGACGCTTTTTTACCCATTTCAAAACGGCATGCCGCAAAATGAAATCAAGTTTGAAAATTATATTTCTCTCCACAATTTGACGAGCCTGATAATTTGATCAGAAAAGGAATCTAGTCCTTGTTCAATTGTTATAAGCGAAGGAACGGGTATAAGTAAGAGGGGACACGCGGTATAAAATTGAGCAACTTCGAAAGAGACTGCAACAAGTACCTGGTATATTAACTAGAAGTGTTACAGTGTCGTGCAGAAGATCTTTTTAATTCGTCCTCATCGGTGTAGTAGTTAAATTGCGCTCGAACAAGTACGTCATTTAATTTATTTCTTTACTTTAATTTTCAAAAATTTTTTTGCTACGACTGCCTTGAAGACGCGATGATCTCTTAAATTTGAGAATAAAATGTACAGTTCAAAGTGGAAGTTTTAATATTGTTGTCCTTTTTATTTAAATTTAATTATTACTAGCTTGATTGAGAGAACTTTCCGTTGCAGTCGTAGAGATTAAATAATGTCATGTCGTTAGGGGTGCAACAAAAATGTATTTCTCAAATTTCATTTTAATTAATGTTGCGTCAAACGCGCAAGCCTTTTTAATGCACCAAAAAGGTTAAAGACACATTGTTTCGCAGTGCGTTCATGACAATCAATAAATTTCTTCTTCCTGCACTTATTTAATTTGGACCTTATTCATCTCAAATGGACAATAATGCGACTTAATATAATTATAACATTGTGTCTCGTGTTAATTGTTTAAGTACCTCCACGAACGGCGCAATTTTGCAAAGCGCATCGGTTTAATACGACTATTAATATTTTTTCAGAATGAAGTACATCTTGGCGGCAATATTCTTAATAGGCACCACCTTAGCGTATCCCGTAGGGGAGGAGAACGAGTCGAAACCCGACGCTTCGATAATCAACCCCAATTCACTATCATCGGCGAAATCTCAAGAAAGTGACGAAGTGCCAAAACACAGCCATCACGATGACGAGTCGCATAAGGACGTCAGCCACGAACACCACAAGGATATCCAACACGATTCGTCAGAAGCAAGCGAAGAGTCCGAATCCATCGAAAAACAGCCCCCTAAACTTCCCGAGCCGTTACCCGAAATCCAACCGGAAGAGAAGCCATCCAAGCCCCTCGAACAAGAAGAGCCGAAACCGAAAGAAGAGCAGAAATTAGAGGACGAAAAGCCGCAGTTAGAAGAGAAATTAATAGACATGGTCGAAGCGGCGAACAAACCCGCAGCGATCGCGGCCGAGTCCGCCGGTCCCGATGACCAATTTGCAAAACGTGCAGAACCCGCACCAGAAAAACAAGACAGTTCGCCGCATTCCGACTCCATTCCCGGCGCGATAGAACAAGAAAAACCGGTGGCGGATGAAGAAAACGTGCCCAAAGATAACGAGCTTGTATCCGAAGGCAAATCCGATATATTAGACATTCCTCAAGATGCGCAAAAGGAGCTTAAGTCGCCGGAAAAAATCGCGGAGGAATTACCTAAAGAAGTACAACAGCCGATCGAGGGAAGTCTCGAGAAGGGCGATCAAGCTAAAGATGACAGTCCCAGTTCTTGAAATCGTTAAATAGGTAAATGAACTGTTTCATCTTTTACTCATCATTTCATAGGTACTATATTTTGAGACCTTAGGTACTACCTGTAACATTCCATTCAATTAGACAAAAATGAATTCATACATCGATAATTTAAGTCCCAGTCCCTATCTGCAATATTTGTATTTAGTGTAAAAGTTATAATACGTATCTATTGTATTTAAATATGATCTGGTGCATATTGTTCTTTACAGCATTTTATTTATTAGGTACTACTCCATGTCTATTTAAATATGCAGAGGTAACTTGGTTACCTACAGAACTGAAAAAAAAAACGCATGTATCGCTGTGACTATAACTTCGATATTGCACCGGTCTACCTAAGGGTTGATATTTAAATCTAAATGTAGGTACTTGTAGTTGACTGTAGCCTGTCTCAAAAGTTCATAAAATAAATGTACTAATCACATAACTAGTTTCTTTTTTTCCTTCCTGTGGTAAGTGGAAAATAATAATTAGACACTATCATCATGTTGTGCTGCAAAATAAAACATCTACTTGTCCGTGTGGTACCTATTAGGTACTTTTGAATTTAATCGAATGTATTAAAAATTACACACGCACTTTACTCGAATGATCACAACGTCCCCAACTCAAATCTAATTTTTTGATAAGGATGGACATACCTATGCCATCTTTTATGTTCGCAACGCTTATATTCTATTTGCCCCATAAAAAGTTGTTGAGTATTTATGAGTGTTTATAGGCCAACTAAGGCTGGAAAATATTGACGTTTTTTTATTGTTTGAAGTGTTGAATTCGAATTTTCACTTTGCTACTTCTTCGCTTCACCTTGAAACATTTTGCACTGCTCACCCACCATTGGAAAAGTAGGCACGTAATTTTTGTGTAGAGTAATAAAGTGCTTCAAGTTTGTCAACATCTTAAAGACGCCCAGTTTAGGGGCCTTTACTACGAGACAAGGAAATAACATGCAAATTCACGCTTCTGTTACTTACAAAATGACATCCATCTTCCGTTGCCGAACTAATAACTAGACTCGAGATCGTTCTACAATTTTAGCTGTCAATACACCCCAGCCTTTACGTTTATTTGTTAGGGGTAAAACCATTCCAGCCACAATTAATTCTATTTCCATTATGTAGCTTACAGAATCAGAATAGTGCGCTTTTGCGATTCCTTTCTTAAACTAAGTACAGGAAGGATTGTATGTTTCCCGCGAAAAATTCGCATTCCCGGAATATCCAACCCCTACTCACGCATTCTGCGGAGTTGCAAAAACGCGGCAATAAGGAGCGAATGGATCGGTTAAAAGTTAGGAAGTGCTCTATCTGATAGTAGAGTTTTATTGTTGCTCAGTCTCTTCTCTTGATACCTCGTCCTCTTCCATTCTTACCTTCCCCGCCCTCTTTCCCATACTTTCCTTGTAATGAAGTACTGTTTCCGGTCTTCTATTTGTATTTACCTCCCACTTATGTTTTTTAGTTTTTTTCTGTTTATCATCATCCAAAAGTCCTTCTCTGTTTTTACTTCACTTCACTTCGTATTCTTCATCTTTTTTTACTTAAATTTTCTTTTGTACTTTTTTCTGTTTATGATCATTGTTCTGTATCTGGTTCTCTCTTCTGTACACTCTCTGTCTCGCCATTCATCTCTTTTATTTCTCCTTTTACCTGTTTCCATGTTATTTCCTTTTTAATACTCCTCCTCCATTTCATCTACTTACCATTTTCTATTTTATTTTTTAACTCTTTCGTTCCTTCTCAGTTGCAGTTCCTTTTTTTGAGGCCCGCAAAAAAAATTGTCTCAGATCGACCCGGAAAATGAATTTTCTTATAGAATGTGGCATGTAGAATCCATAATTTCAAACAGTTCCAAGATTGGGCTACTAGTTCAAAAGTTACAGCCCTTTGAATTTTCTTTTCGAAATTGGTTTCTAGTCTATAACTTTTGATTGAGAAGTCTGATCGAAAAAGTATGAATTGTTTTGGATTCTACGCACCAAAATTAATAAGAAAAAGTGTTTTCCCGAGAAATTTTGGTGTAGTCGATTTTTGGTAAAAAAGGAAGGTTATACACTGCCTTTTTTGAGGCCCGCAAAAAAATTGTCTCAGATCGACCCGGAAAAAAATTTTCTTATAGAATGTGGCCTGTAGAATCCATAATTTCAAACAGTTTCAAGATTGGGCTACTTGTTCAAAAGTTACAGCCCTTTGAATTTTCTTTCGAAATTGGTTTCTAGTCTATAACTTTTGATTGAGAAGTCTGATCGAAAAAGTACGAAATGTTTTGGATTCTACGCACCAAAATTAATAAGAAAAAGTGTTTTCCCGAGAAATTTTGGTGCAGTCGATTTTTGGTAAATAAGGAAGGTTATACACTGCCTTTTTTTGAGCCCCGAAAAAAAAATTGTCTCAGATCGACCCGGAAAAAAAATTTTCTTATAGAATGTGGCGTGTAGAATCCATAATTTCAAACATTTCCAAGATTGGGCTACTAGTTCAAAAGTTACAGCCCTTTGAATTTTTTTCGAAATTGGTTTCTAGTCTATAACCTTTGATTGAGAAGTCCGATCGAAAAAGTACGAATTGATTTGGATTCTACGCACCCAAATTAATAAGAAAAAGTGTTTTCCCGAGAAATTTTGGTGTAGTCGATTTTTGGTAAAAAGGGAAGGTTATACACTGCCTTTTTTTGAGCCCCGAAAAAAAAATTGTCTCAGATCGACCCGGAAAAAAAATTTCTTATAGAATGGGGCCTGTAGAATCCATAATTTCAAACAGTTCCAAGATTGGGCTACTAGTTCAAAAGTTACAGCCCTTTGAATTTTCTTTCGAAATTGGTTTCTAGTCTATAACTTGATTGAGAAGTCTGATCGAAAAAGTACGAATTGTTTTGGATTCTACGCACCAAAATTAATAAGAAAAAGTGTTTTCCCGAGAAATTTTGGTGCAGTCGATTTTGGGTTAAAAAGGAAGGTTATACACTGCCTTTTTTTGAGGCCCGAAGAAAAAATTGTCTCAGATCGACCCGGAAAAAAATTTTCTTACAGAATGTGGCATGTAGAATCAATAATTTCAAACAGTTCCGAGATTGGGCTACTAGTTCAAAAGTTACAGCCCTTTGAATTTTTTTTCGAAATTGGTTTCTAGTCTATAACTTTTGATTGAGAAGTCTGATCGAAAAAGTACGAATTGTTTTGGATTCTACGCACCAAAATTAATAAGAAAAAGTGTTTTCCCGAGAAATTTTGGTGCAGTAGATTTTGGGTAAAAAAGGAAGGTTATACACTGCCCTTTTTTGAGGCCCCAAGAAAAAATTGTCTCAGATCGACCCCGAAAAAAATTTGCATACAGAATGTGGCATGTAGAATCAATAATTTCAAACAGTTCCAAGATTGGGCTACTAGTTCAAAAGTTACAGCCCTTTGAATTTTCTTTCGAAATTGGTTTCTAGTCTATAACTTTTGATTGAGAAGTCTGATCGAAAAAGTACGAATTGTTTTGGATTCTACGCACCAAAATTAATAAGAAAAAGTGTTTTCCCGAGAAATTTTGGTGCAGTCGATTTTTGGTAAAAAAGGAAGGTTATACACTGCCTTTTTTTGAGGCCCGAAAAAAAATTGTCTCAGATCGACCCGGAAAAAAAATTTTCTTATAGAATGTGGCCTGTAGAATCCATAATTTCAAACAGTTCCAAGATTGGGCTACTAGTTCAAAAGTTACAGCCCTTTGAATTTTCTTTCGAAATTGGTTTCTAGTCTATAACTTTTGATTGAGAAGTCTGATCGAAAAAGTACGAATTGTTTTGGATTCTACGCACCAAAATTAATAAGAAAAAGTGTTTTCCCGAGAAATTTTGGTGCAGTCGATTTTTGGTAAAAAAGGAAGGTTATACACTGCCTTTTTTTGAGGCCCGAAGAAAAAATTGTCTCAGATCGACCCGGAAAAAAATTTTCTTATAGAATGTGGCCTGTAGAATCCATAATTTCAAACAGTTCCAAGATTGGGCTACTAGTTCAAAAGTTACAGCCCATTGAATTTTTTTTCGAAATTGGTTTCTAGTCTATAACTTTTGATTGAGAAGTCTGATCGAAAAAGTGCGAGTTGTTTTGGATTCTACGCATCAAAATTAATAAGAGAAAGTGTTTTCCCGAGAAATTTTGGTGTGGTTGAGATTTGGTAAAAAAAGAAAGTGCGAAGTATTCCAATACTAAATATTTGTGAAAGTATTTGAGTTACAAATACTGCTTCCATAAAAGTATTTAATTACAAAGTATTTGAATACTAAAAAGTATTTACAAAATCGAATACTGCCCAGCTCTGCTCTTGTTGATATTTGAAATTAAGTCCGTGTAAAGTTCAAAGTTTGGTCGCCGTTCTAAGTCCATAGGTTGGTGTAAAGTTCAAAGGTTGTTCGCCGTTTAAAGTCCAAAAGTAAAGTTTGGGCCACTCCCCCTTCCGCCCCCCGGTTGAGAACCATCAGCTAACGAAAGGGATAGCGTGGAAGCTCGGCAGCGGTACTGGTTCAAATCCGTGCTAATAGTGTGCCTTGACATACAAATTAAAGAAATCCGATTTAATAAATGGCGTCAGTTGAATAGACGATGTCATTAAAAAGTTTGTTCGTATATAGCTGAAAGAAAGTTCACAAAACTTTGTTTCATTTATGCACTACTTTGTTGTACGGAATAAAGTTTACGTGCGCCCCATCGACGTTCGCACCGCGTAATTTAGTCACCTTTGGAATTTGACAGTTGTGCTTTTTGCTTCATCCTTTCGCCCAAGTTATGCGAATAGCTACGCGCAACTTACTGACGTGCTGTTTTCTTGTTGTTACAGTGGCGAAAGACATTAACGTTCTCGTCGGTAGTTCGATAGATCTCCCGTGCACGGTCGACACGGAACAATGCGGGGAGTTGCATAGTGTGAAATGGTACCGGGACACGTCGAGGATATACGTGTACAGCCAGTTGGGACTTATCTCCCGCGCCGAGGGGAACGCCACTAAAAGGTAGGTGGTGCAAGATGCAATTTTCGTAATGACTTTCTTAAGTAGTTGGACAAACAGAGGAACGGTGTATTCATATTTAAGTTACGGTGACGTCGCAAAGGGGCACACTTACTTGTGTCAACATTAAGAAGGCTTGCGGTTGCGGAAAATCGCAACTTAATAAATTTTGATATTTGCATTTATATTTAAAGATGCATTTCTCCTTTAATAAGACCTTAACTTGTAAAATTTGAATTGAATTAAACACTCTTCTGAGTGTCCTTAACATTCGTAATGATTCATTTACACGTATGAGTTAGTGTCATCTAAATATCATGATACTTCTCGCTTTAGACGATGGAACTTACAAAAGAACCAAAGGTGGCCACAATGAATTATTAGGATAAGCTCATTTCTGCCCCTGATCTAACTTAATTGCCCCACACACGTGTAAAA